AATGCATAATCATGTTTTGCTTTGTATATTCAGATAAAAACAACCCTCGCATTAAAGCAATATAATTATAAAGTGTAAGGTCTGAAAACAGTTAGGTAGTGTTTAATTGCTCAACTTTGTCCATGGAAAATGAAATTTGTTTGATTGTTCAAAATTTTTCATGGAATTAAAATTCTGACTTTCTTGTCTCATCAGCATTTTCAATGAAATCATGGAATTGGAATTCTCACCAAAATTGTGAGAATTGAAATTTTCGGTTACTGTAGCGATTTTTTAATTTTTTTTTTTTTGTATTGACAAATTCCATGTAAAATAAAGTCAAATGAATATTAAAAGATAGATGATTTTCTTTTTTTTTGTTAGCAATGGAAACAAATTTCATACCCAATACTAGTAAATTTTATCTATTTAATTGACAATTTTCATGCAAAATAAAGCCAAACGAACATGAAAAAATACTTTTATTTCAACATTTTTCACGTGAAAAATTATACTAATCAAACACAATAATTTACAATTCCCGGGAAAATAATTTCTAGACAATTCAATTTCTTGAAATTCGTTTTCAATTTCATCTTTACAATCAAACGGATCTTTATAGACGTGTTGACGGACTTTTCATTATAGAGGACATTCCTTTTGATTATAATAAAAAGCTTTTCCAAGTTGTCTACAAGTTGACAAAAACATAAGTATCGTTTTGAATAATTTTCTTTACAACGAAAATTTCCACACTCTTGTTTGAAAAATCTTTCCTTGAACATTCTACTGTTCCATACAGATGAATGGCCATACCCGAAAAAAAAAAAAAACACACACACACACACACATATTATCCAATTTTATAACATGTCACTGTGATATCTGTTAAGCCTTGTCATTTAAAAGCGCAATAAAATTATTAGGGATTCATCACTTTGAGCCTCTATTTGATTTAGATAAAAATTATATTTTTAGTTGATTTTAATAAAAATTGAGAATCCCATAAAATGCACGTTTAAAATTAATCAATTTCTTTAGCTGAAGCAGACATGGTTTACGTATTTAGATTAAATTTTAACATGATGGTTGACACGCATTCATCTTTTGTCTGGAGAAGATCGACATGATGCGTGAATGATAGTAAGACCATCATCTAAATACAAGCTATAAATTCAACAACCCACTTAAATTCAACAACCCACTTAAATAAAACTAAAGTTATAAATTCAAAACCAACCCACTTAAAGTTATAAGGTAAAGTCAATGAACCCACATTTCTTTTACTGAAGTAAATACTCTACCACACAGCGTTAGGCTTCCAGAAATCTTATTTCCAGTTAGAGTTGGATTGTTCTATTTATTTTCACAAATCATTAAGTAAATTACCTCATGATGGAAGAGCACAGTCTATGGTTTGCAAAGTGATGGCACCAAGGAGATCTCAGGCGTTTCATGATACCACATGATGAGATCATGCTTCGAGAAGAGATGTGAATACAACTGTGTAAATAAATAGATTTGTTGCGTGGACGTGTTCTTGGTGGGAATAGATATTAGATAGTAATGTTTGTTAGACTATTTAGTTAGTCTTCATACTTATCTTTTATATTGTCAGAAGGGTAGTAGTGTCATTTTACTATGTATTCTTATTTTGTAAAGCCCCTGTTTTGTGTGGATAAAAATTGGATTTTTTAGTAGATTTTGATAAAAGTTGATAGAATGTGTGTTTGAAAAATTGTGGGTACTATGAAATATGCGGTTAAAACCAATTGTTGATTTTGATTTATATTTTAATACAATTTTTAAATTGAACCAAACATGGGCAAAATGAACTCATGTGGTTCTTCGAAACCGTACCCTCTTTTTGCAATCTCCGTGTTTTCCCTTTTGATTAGAGCAATAAAATTCACAATGTTGATCCCAACAAATGCATATGTTATTACTTCAAAACCATGATGATTTGGTGGCAGACGAGACAGCAAAGGAAGAAAATTCCTGTGCAAATTATAACCTTTTTGCTCTTTCCAATCTTCACTATCGAATTGGTAATAGCTCCCACAAGGATCACAATCGCTGCAAATTTTTTGACATTGAGGACGAGGACGGGAAAGTTGTAAGTATTATGCCCTAGGTTCAATTAATTTTGGACATAAATATTTTTGATATATAATTAATACAATTTAATGGCAGATCTGTTATTTAATTAATAGACAATTAAATAAATAATGAAGTCCGTAGATTTAAATCTTCGTAATTTGTTAATCACAAAGAGTTGTGATTGTGAGATACAAATTACATCTGATTGAATCTTAAATCGTCCGTGGTCGTAAGTAATAACGAGATACGGATATCATTATTACGGATAGACCATCACATGTGACATTTCTTACTTTTGAAGTAAGTAGCTGATCTCACAAGTTAAAATGCGGTGACACTTAAATGACACGTGGATGTTTTGTTATAGAACAAAATATTGGAGACCCGCTGAGAGATTCTACTTGGATAACTATTTGAGTGTCAGTGGTTAATCTTTAACGTTCGGTAGTGGAATTGGTCCTTTGACTTGAGGTCGTCATGGTACCTTATATGAGGACAGACATATTTTGGCGGTGTTGGATGTTGTTCTGCAAAGGGCCGCTAATACGACATCGTTCGGGTACGTCAAGAATCGTATGAAGGTTGTGATTGACCAATAAAGGATTCGTCACTCTTAGATAGTAGGAAATTATGATCTGCATTTCATTCAATTAAGTTGATAACGAAAACCTTGGCCAAGGTGTACTCATAAGTCGAAAAAGAGTTTTCGACTTATATTGACTTAATAGTGGAGTGAAAGATATGATCAATATTCGGGATTGACACAATTCCATATCTCTTAATTGATCGGATCATATTGACGACGGGACTATAGTTTCACGGTAAACGAACGAGTTTGGTTTTCTCATACCACGTGACATTTTTCGTTACATGTATTGTCCTGACACATTGCTAAATGTCAATCTGGGACGGCGAATGTGAATTGATGATAAATTAAATGGGAGTTTTAATTTATCAATTTTGATTAGATCAAAATAATATTTCACGTCGTTAGGCATCGTGGTCGGGAACCTAATGGGTCACACACAAAAGAGAATTTGAAGATTGCAAATATTTTTCATCAAGAAGTGTGTTGGATTACTTTACGTGTGTAATGTTGCAAAGTGTAGTTATGCAAGTGCTTTTGCAACTTCTACAATGATTTTCAAACGCCAATACCATGAAAAATGGGAAATTAATGCTCTTATCATGGATATGATCGAAATGAGTTCCATTTGAGATGAAGAACTTTTATTTCTGGGCAGCATCTTAATAGCATAACAACATTCCTATGAATGATTTTTGTGTTGGATTTTGATACTCAATAAATTTGGACTATTATAGAAGATAGATGTCCGATAATTTATCAACACCATATGCTTGACTCGAATGTAAATGACCAACACTTTTGGAGGGCACAAGTTGTAGTTGAGTAGTGATTGGAGGTGAGTCGAGGTTGGCAAAACCCAAACCACCCAAACCAACTCGAACCAACTGGTTTGGGTTGGTTTTTTGTGATTTTCTAGTTAGGTTCGGGCTTTGGGTTAAGAAGGGGGTCGGGTTCATGGGCTAACCCATGAAAATCTAGTTAACCAGACTCGACCTAGCCCGCTTAGTTAGAAAAAGAAAAAAAAAGATGATTTAAAACCAAACGTGAGAACTGAGAACCACATACAAATACAAACACAATTAAATTACAATTTACAAACACAAAACACAACCCTAATAATCTTCCAAGTTCCAACTCTCTCTCTCTCTCTCTCTCCCCCCGTCTCTTATCAAATCGTCGACGTTGAACTACTGTTTTGCGGATAATGCAGAAGATGGTAAGCAGAAAAGCTAAATAATGCAACAGTTGAAGATGGTGAAGAATCTTATGTTCTCAGGTTCTCTAAAGAGAGAGAAAAACTCACTTTTGAGCCTCTTGATTTCTTGAGTTTTCTTGGTTTCTTTGTTTGATTTTCACTTCTTCCTAGTGAATCTTGAACATTGCTTTAGTTCTTGTTAATTCCATAAAGCTTCAAGTTGATTTCGAAGGCAGATTTCAGTTCGAACTTGGAGCTTTGTGGTATTGGTGCTGTTCGGGTTGGGCTTACAGGCTAGCTTGTGCAGTTTTCTGTTCAGCCAGCTTAAGGTACATTGCATTTATTTCTTCTTCATTTTTCAGCGTTCATTTTTGTTATGGCAAATGAACTTAGCATGACAAGCTAAGCGCTTTCAATTACTATTGAAAATCAACTTGGAATAGTTAATTTATCATATGCTTCTTGGTGCTGTATCTCAAGAGATTGAAGAGAAAAAAGATCCTAAAATGTATTAAGAAAATGTTAAAATAGAGAATATAAGGAACAATTTGGCATGGGAAATTTCTAGAGAATATTATTAGTTGCTTAAATAAACAATTACAAAAACATTGGTTGCTACAAATGAGGAAATTGTTTAGAAACCACTCAATGGAATCAAACTGTGTGAATCTTTAGGGGACAAGTGTGGGATGGTAATGTCACTCCCACCAGTATTTGTCCATGTGTAGTCATCATCTGAAATCAATATTGATTTGGACTTTTGCAGTTGTATGCCATCATATTTAGTTTCAGAAGTAGTCGAAAGTGTTTTAGACTTTCTTATACTCTCCAACTCCATGGCTACTTCTTTCATAGTTGGCCTTTTCTTTCCATTCAAATTCAAGCACCTTTGAGCAACTTTGGCCACTGCTATGAGCTCTTCTCTGTTACCTTGCTGTAATACTTGGGTGTCAAGGATTATATCGAAATTTTCTTCTTCCATGCATAACAAAAACCTTGTTGCTAAACTTCTTTGCTCTCCTATTTTATCAAAAGATATTGGTTTTTGGCTAGTCAAGAGCTCGACAAGAACAACTCCAAAACTGTAAACATCACTTTTTTCTGTAAACTGACTTGACTGAAAGTACTCTGGATCTAAATATCCAAATGTCCCTTTTACTAAGGTAGTTTGATGAGTTTGATCCACTGCAATTGACATTGAAGTTCCAAAGTCGGCAACTTTTGCTACATATTTTTCATCAAGAAGTATGTTGGATGACTTAACATCTCTGTGATAGATGGGAATAGAAGTTGCAGAGTGAAGATATGCAAGTGCTTCTGCCACTTCTACTGAAATTTTCAAACGCCGACTCCATGAAAATAGGAATTCATCATTCTCATCATGTATATGATCAAAAAGAGTTCCATTGGAAATGAACTCATAAACTAGTAGCGGAACTTCTGTTTCTAGGCAACATCCTAATAGCTTAACAACATTTCTATGAATGATTTTTGAAAGCATGACAACCTCGTTAATGAATTTCCCCACTTGGTTTTCATCTATTAAGATGGATTTCTTTATTGCTACGATTTTTCCATCAGATAACATACCTTTATACACAGTCCCTTGACCTCCTCTGCCAAGTATTCGACTTTCATTGAAGCGATCAGTTGCTTTCTCTAGTTCTTTAGAAGTGAAAAGTCGTGTTTTTTCAAGTATACCTTCATCACTTGATATTTGTTGTTGTAGCAAGAGCCCACCATTTCGTTTGAAAAACTTTTGTTTACGCTTCTTATTTTTTCCCTTCTTGTGAAACTTGTATAACCAAAAGCAAGTTGATAATAAAAGTAGTAATCCTATTCCAGAGCCCAAGCCTACTCCTGAAAGTGTTAACATATACAATTAATTTAAGACAGGAACATCACGTCTAATCTGGACTTCAATCACATATAATTTTCCTCGAGTAGGAATATTGAAATTTATTATTATTATTATTATTATTTATATTTAGAAAACAATATTGTAATATTAAGAATAATAAGGACACGTTTGATATAGCCCAATGAGAAGGAAGCTGCCGCGGGGTGAAAATTTGAGAGAAGAAGCAACCGTCGCGTTCCATTTTTCTTTTTAACTTTTTCAAATGGCTTAAGTGTCTAGCTTTATAACCTTATCGGTTTTTCTATTTTATATGTAGCGTTATGATTTTTTTGTTCTCGTTTAATTTTTATGTGATGAAATTATTATTAAAAATAATTAACAATCGTTAGAAACTTAACCCTTATTTGGTGGGGATTAAAATTAGATTTTTAGTAGATTTTTAATAGAAGCTAATGAAATATATGGTTCAAAAGTTATGAAACTCATAAGATATGTTATTAAAATTAATTATTGATATAAATTTAGATTAAAATTTAAAATTTAATCCCCACCTAACAGGGGCTAAAATACTTTAAGTATATATGTATTTAGTAATTTATTTTTTAAATACTACATATTTATCTAAGATTTTAATTAATTAATTATTTTTTTGGTTGATCACGATTTAACCCAGATTCGATCCTTTGATTCGTTACCCTCTTTCTTCTCGGAATAAATGTTCAGTCCGATTTTCAAAATATTGACAGTAATTAAATTAATATAGATATTGATTAAAATGGGTATTATTATTATCATATAAAATAACTATAGTATTAAATTAATTAAGCAATGGAAAAAAATTAAAATACATCTAACTAATTTTTGTTTTACTTCATTAAAATAGAATATTTTGTATAAAAAATTAAGTTGTAATTTAAAATGAGCAGAAATTAAGAAAAATAAACTAAATATTTAATTTGGAGAAATTAATTGAAAATTACCTATTGTCACTTTGCTATGAGACACTGGCACTGGTATACAACCAGTACCATTTTTTTTGCCATCACCATAATATCCATAGCTGCAATGACAGCTATAAGAACCCAAACTATTGCGACAAATTCCACGGGAGTCGCAGGGATTATTGTGGCATTCATCGATATCTGCCACCCATCCATCAAACATCAAAGCGAAGAATTGTTAGATTACTTGTATCGAAATGGATAGTCGATGCATAAGTCTGTTAATTAAATAACAGTAATTTTAAAACTAACCTTGGCACCCTGAACGTAGGTAAGGATTGCCTTCATATCCTTCGTTGCACTTGCAGTGATATCCTCCATTACCTACAACCATGTTAATGCAAGAACTATGCTTTCCACATGAAGTTTTGGTGCAATTCGAAAAAGGATCAATTCTCCAATCTAACACCAATGGCCTATCCAAAAACTCTTTATTATTCTTTCCGAATGCTTTTGGATCATTGAGGTCAGATAATTTAAATTTGATATTACCGAGTTTTCCTATCATTCCAACGAAGGCAAAACTACACCTGAAATCTTTTTTATCTTTCCCCCAAATAGTAAGCATGTCAACCAGTTCAACTTTCAGAGCATCAGTTTTGGATATGGAGGTTTGGCAACAACCCACGCCGGGGCACTTTCCGACCCCATCTCTACTTTTTCGACAGTACGGTAGACAACCAAAACCACCGTTCTCATCGATTATGTCTGAAATTTGTTGTGCCATAGCCATGTCATCACAACCAACTACCGTTAGCTGATTTGCATCTGACAAGGTATACGGAGTTGAATCAAAATTGAGGTGTATAGAATAATTCTTCATATTGGAATAGGACCACATGCCATAGCATGTCCTTGCCAGCTGCAGCTCCGAGTTCTTGACATGGATTTGGGATTTTGAGATATTAACAACCTCTAAGCTGAGACTCACATTTGCAAAGGAGAGGTAAGGTTTGGAGGGTTGAAAGAAGTATCGCAGTGGATGTTAAAGTGCGAGTTCTTAGAACAATTCGGCCCAATACCAAACGGGTATGGAATTTCTATGTTACCACAACTACTTTGGCAGCCGGGTTTGGTAGTGGTGGTAGCGTTCGACGGTGGTGCCACTGCCAATGAAAGCAAGAAGAACATATGGAGCAAAGCAGACTGAGTAACCATGTTTTTTCTTTGCAGTATGCGATTAGGCTAATCTGTATTTATGACCAAAAATAAATAAATTCTCATTAATGAAGGTTGGATAGCTGTCGTAGTCTTGCTATTCAATAGATGAAGTAGATATATCACCTAAGTTATCAGGCCCTCGATATTCATATGCCAAGGCGATTTGGCATTGTGTGGGAGTTCATTGCGCTTCAATAAATATATATCAATGTGAGAGATATTATTTTTAATTCTAAATAATAATAATAATAATAATAAAATCAAAGGAAATTGAACCGATTAGGTAATTTACTTGACTATAATTTAATAGTGTTTTCACAGACCGAAAAAAAAAAATACTATGCCATGTTGTATCTCATGTTTTATATTAAAAAAATTATGAAAAACATAGGACTCGTGTTTTTACACACAAAATAATAATAATAATAATAATAATAATAATAATAATAATAATAATAAATAATAATCAGAAAATTGAATTAAGATTCAATTTTCAAATCAGTACCAAGAACTGGACTAGAGTTTGTGATTCTGGGTGCAGGTCTCAAAATTGACCAGTTCTTTGGAGGGATTGGTTCAATTTGATTAAAGTCCCATAACATAGGGAACTGCTACATCACTAGGGCCATGTAGGCCCTGTTCGTGACAGCATCAAGAACTGGACTAGAGTTGTGATTCTGCTTGCAATGTCTCAAAATTGACCAGTTCTTTGGAGGAATTGGTTCAATTTGATTAAAGTCCCATAACATAGGGAACTGCTACATCACTAGGGCCATGTAGGCCCTGTTCGTGACAGCACCAAGAACTGGACTATTCTAGGTGCAATGTCTCAATGTCTCAAAATTGTACTGTTCTTTGGAGGAATTGGTTCAATTTGATTAAAGTCCCAAAACATAAGGAACTGCTACATCACAAGGGCCATGTAGGCTCTGTTCGTGACAGCGGGCTTGTGAGTTTATTAGAATTAGAAAAATACTTTTTATACACTAGAGTGTACACCCCTCTTACATGAGAGGAGGCCTACAATGATTAAAAAATTCATGGACATGAAGGAACTGTACACTAGAGTGTATCGTACAGGTAGCATTTCTTTTAGAATCGTTCCATAACATATTGGTCTTGTCATCAAGTCAATGTAGTTATTAATATCATAAAGTTTAGTAGGGACAAGAGTCCCACTATGAATAAATCGCCACCGCCTTTTGTTGACTTTTTCTTCGTAAAAGAACTTCCTATTTTTCACGGAAAAACTTTGGTCTAAAATTTTAAGATGCCAAGGAATGATGAAATTTATTTATCTATTATATATCTAACATGATTTCTCATGTGCAGATTCAATTAATTTAGTTTTGATCAACTGCTTGACATGTAATTTGTTTATAAATGAGTGATGAATGTGGATCAAGACAATTATCTTCTGTCGTGTTATATTAAACAACTTCAATCAAAATTAAAAGGGTTAACAAATATTGTTTATTCGATAATTAATAACATATGTTACACAATCGACAAATAATTTGATCAGTACATATACTACATGCATAGTTATTAAAATCGGCTTGCCCCAGTAAATTGGTGACCCGAGTCCTTAATTGGGCCGGGCCAGCTGATTTTATATAGATGCAACCAAGATTTGACCGGGCCAATAGCCGGTTTTTGAATAACTTTTGGATCGGTTTAGCCCGACACGATTGATTTTTAAACCAAATTTCAACTCTTTTACAATGAAATTGTAGGTACTAAAGATTTGAACCCTTGACCTTCAAGTAAGTAGAACATAATCTTACCACTAATGCAAGTAACACTTTGTTGTCTTTTGTTTAATAAATTATAACTAATCTATGAATAATTTGTTACTTCTAGAAGTTTTTTTAAAGAAATTAGTCCAACATTTACATTCACTTTGTAATTTCAAATAAATATTTTATATACTTATTTTGTTTGAAAAAAATTAATTTTAACTAAGATAAATTGAATAAATAATACACAAAATTTTTGTCAATAACTAATAAATAATTTGTAAATCACAAAAGGGAAAAATATATTTTTTTAATATAATATGCAAAATTATAAAATCAAAATTTAACCATTATCACTGATAAATGAGTTCAAAAAATCATTAATTTAAACGTATTGAAAAATTAGTAACAAAGAACTTGAAAACTTTAATTTTGTCTCAAACAAAAAAAAAAAAATTGTACTTTAAAAATTGTTAAATTATTTTTAAGTAATGACCCATCGGTCCGACCACCGATTCATCGGTCCGACCAATAACCCAATACCTTGATCGGGTCGATGTTTGAGTTGGGTTGGATAACTATGACTACATGTCTAAGTACAAAGATTTCTAAAGATATCGTTGTACAAGAGTGGCATTTATTACTGGTCTTCACACCAAGTCAATCCATTTAATTTCCACAAAATTGTCATTGTCTGGCCAAAGGTTTTTTTACGTTGTTTGGATACTAACCTTGACTTTTATATTGTTTGATAATAACGTCATTTGTTGTTATATATATGTTAACATCTAATTGTCATTTCAACGTCACATTAAACTATTCGCTTAACTCTAAGTTATCAGAGGGATAATATTTATTTATTTAAATGTAGATTTTAAAATGCATCACAGGTGCATTCAATTTTATTATTATTTTTATTTTTTTAATCAAATGGCCAACACAAAGATATTTTTACAATATTTGCTATTCCCTTTTTCTCTTTCCTATTTATCATTATTTTTTAACTGCAGCTAATACACAACACATGGCTTTGTGCTATTAGATTAAAACGGCAAATCATATCATATTGTCTCTTGGGTACATATATAAAAAAATTGGAGCCGAGTTTTTCTCGTCAAAATTGTATCTCATATCCCAATTCTCAGCTCAGAAAAAATAATAAAAAATAAAAAAACATGTCTATTTATTTAGGCTTTAGGCATAAATGGACTTAATTTTAGAAAGGATATAATTTCTTTTGTTTCATTCCCCACACTAATAAAAGTAAAATTTAAAATTTACGAAAGTGCGTTAAAAGTTATCAATTAAGTGCTATTTAAGTCAAAACTTTAAAAATCACCCCAATAATCCCCATTGGGCTTCTTTTAATGCCAGACAGCTACTAAAATGGGCCCACTCTCAATAGAAGGATGACCCCAAAAGTGGAAATTACACTGGACCCCGTTTTCTAGGATGAAATCAGATTTAAAGTTTAATTCTTCAGAAATCAGGTGCTTAATTTGTAATATTTAAATATTAAATATTAAATCTAATTACGGATAAATATTAAATAATAAATCTAATTATGCCTCATCCCGTAATTTAAGTGGTTTATAATTGGAAAACAACTTTAATTTCTTATTTCTCATTAATTGCCATCATCCCACGTACATTCATCTCTCTCCAAAGATCGCACGACCTTCATTCATGTTCCTTCGTCACCAATAAATACCTTCGATGAGCTCTCTATTGACTTTAACCATACATACTATTTCTATAATTCTCATATTCTATATTTTTCATTTGTTAAAACCATATACTTTAAAACCCATGTAAAATGGTTTGACTAAGGAGTGGAAATTCGGGCAAAAAGGTAGGTGAGGCCCCAAATAGAAGAGGTTAAAGAAATGTAGGTGACATACCAACAAAATCGCCACTAAAAAAACACAAAACTTATGGGTCATCCTCAAAATTGACCTCGAACAAGGTATGTTCAATCTCTCTCTCTCTCTCTCTCTCTCTCTCTCTCTCTCTCTCAAGTCTATTTCTGCAATCCAAAATTGATGGCAACAAGTATTTTCAATGTATTTGATATTTGTGGCCTGTGTTTGGTTTGATTTAGCGTCGAATGAATTGGGTTAGAGTTTTTGTTGAAGAGTGTTGTTTTATGGAAATTGATGTTGTTTGATTTAGGAAAGAGTTGTGACTTAAACTTTGCCAATTGTGACATATTCATCCATATGTGACCACGCTTTTTTGGATTTGTGCCCAATTTGAATTGCGTGCATAACAACAAATATGTCATTAGGCTGTGTTTAGAATTGATGTTATTGTATCCAGAAATGTATCGTGACTTAATTTCCTGTGAATGTGACCTGCCCATCAGTTTGTGACTAAACTCACATTTGATTTTAGCATGAATCCTAATGTGCTATTGTGTTGACAACTAGAAGCTGCGACTTGATTGACATGATTGTGTACCATGCTTTCTGTTGCGTGTTGTCACACCTGGCCAACCTACCTGGGACAATGGCCCACTCATGGCGACCCACATGGCATTCCTACCGAGGTGGCACACAATGCCGAGGTGGGCTACATCCGAACTACTTGAGCCGAAGTCCATCTGTCGAGGCTCCTCTTGTCCGAGGCCCGTTGACCGAGGCCTACGAACCGAAGCCAGGCTCTGCTGTAACCTGTTGAGAGCAGTTGAGGCCCTCAAGTGGAAGTATCATGACAAATGGCCGAAGCCCCCAAGCTGATGCGCGAGCCTCTGAACCACAAGGAAACATCCTCCACAGTCACTTCTCCCAAGAGATCACCTGCACAGATCTTATTCGAATGACTAATGGAATGTTTGTCACAAGCATAAAGGTCAAGTCTTGTCACTAGCATGGAGGCCCTGCACAAGCAATAAATGCGCCGTAAGCTAGCAAGTCAAGCCCCATATCTAGGAAAAGATGTTTGGACTAAAGAGATGAGGCCACGTGCCACTTCATCCAAGGGCTCCCATTTCATATGCATTACTATAAATACTTCCATTGTGTAATATCAAAAGGCGAATGCAAGAATCAATACTAAAAACTACATTTTACTCAACTCTCTCCCATTTACTAGCAATACACAAATCGAGTTTATACATTTTTGCGTATACATCTACGAGCACCGGTTGGTAATTATTGTACAATCGGATTACGAACAACCCGTCGGATCCCGAACGTTACCGTCCCGCGTCGTTGGGCTACTCCCACGCCCCTTTGAACCGCTCATTTAGACCGTCCACGTGTCTTAGCGTGTTGGACATTCGCCCACGCAAGCGCGGGTGGGACCGGCATCTGTCGGCACTCTTTTTGGGGTCAACAGATTGGCGCCGTCTGTGGGAAACCATACCATAACCACGAGCAACCTTGTGGTAGAAGCTTACTGAAAAAACA